ATCGTTTATGAACAAGTGGAAAAGCACAGGTCCCAACACCAAGCCTTGAGGGACTCCACTGAATTTCATTTTCTTAGTCTTGACCTAGTTATCCTTTCTATCATGATGGTTTTGAATTTTATCCCTGTCTTCTAAAGTGTTTCAGTTTTTCTCCCACTTCGTCACCTGCAAATTTGATTCCTTCCAGTCCTTTATCAAAGTTATTGATAAAAATGTTGAAGGGCATCAGGCCCAGGACAAAGCCATGTGTCCCCCAACTCAAAACCTTCCTCCAGTGGTGGACCTAGATATAAGACTATACTGGTTTACATAGAAATATTTTTCATTAAATAAGGTGAAAGAATGCTCTAAAGTATGTTGATAATACATTCTGATTTGGAGATGGCTAGTCCCTCAGCTCATTCTCTACTCTCTGCTACAGCAGTAAGGTGAACCTGCAGATTCTCCTATTGTTGATGATCCACTTTAAAAGGTCATTTTTTGCCATTCACATATCTAGTTCTGAATGCTAGTAAGCTCCACTTGCTGCCAAAGAGTGATCCATAAAGAATGGTGTTTATAATTAAAACAAAGTATGCAACATTCATGCATTTAATTTAGCATCCCCAGTCAATGTATGCAGTGATTTTAATTAGCTTGTTGTTTAGCCATCTGTTCATTCTGAAAGCTTTAATTGCTAAGCAGCACCTGCTTAAAAGCGCAGCAACTAGTCTTAGTCCATCAGCATTTTTTTATCTTTTAAAATCAAGCACTTCTAAAATGTAGGTGCTTTGCTTTCAGCTGTGCAGATGTCAGATTTTTCTTTCAGCCTCCAAAGAGAGCGGTGTAACACTTCAGGTTCACTTTTCTGCCTGTAAATTGCAATTCATGATACGCATTACTGAGAGGAGCCTGTTCTTGAAACTTTTCAAAACTACAGTTTTCATCTTGTTTGCTAAATAGTTTTGAGCATTTGTTGTAATTAGTTTGTAAACTTTACAAAGGCCATTACATCAAATGGCATTTGGCTAATGTTCAGGAGCTGAAAGGTTTTTCCACCTCAGCTTAATACTGGTCAGTGTGGCTAGGAAGCCTCAAGGACCTGGTGTGGTGCTATTAAGGCTATTTCTGTTACTACGTACAAGGTGCAAAGGCTTACAGAATGTGTGTTGCGGGTGGAGTTTGCAGCGCTGTGCAAGCTAGCCCTATTCCTGATGTATCCAACATATACGCACTCTGCTGTTCCTGCATTTGGTGTGCGTGGGAAGTGGCCATACACACATACCAGAGCATGCAGATTTTGGTTCAGTCAGGAACCTTCTTCACATGAAAGTACTCTATGTGTGTACATTGGTATTGGTGTAGAGCCCTTTATTGGGTGTCCAAGGTGCAAACCTTTCCAGCCCTATGTTCCTCCTGTAGTCCTTAAAATTTTGGGGCTGGTGGATGATGACTTTATTAAAGCTTTCAGGTGAATTAACAGTGCAGCTGTAGAGATATTCCTAGAATTTTATAATGACAATGGAATTTTCATTCTTGAAGATAAAATAAATATGCCTCCACCTTAAGCTTTAATAGGAAACCTACACTTGCATATAGAAAAAAAGAAAGGTATCTGTCTGGCAAATCCATGTTTAAGTAGCCTAAAAGAATTTTTTTTTTTCTGTTTCAGGGAACAAATGAAGTTCTGCGAATGTATATTGCTTTGACAGGCATGCAGTATGCCGGCAAGATCTTAACTGAGAAAATAAAGTATGTGCTTTTTTCCAAATAGCCATTTTTGATAAATGATTACTGACTACAGATTGAAAAGTTGTAAAGGGGAACAGCATAGAAAGGGGGGTAGCAAGATGAAATTTTCTTGAAAGTTTCAACATGAGCAGAAATAAGGCATTTATTTATTTAAAATGCCGATACAGTGGTATCTCGGGTTAAGTACTTAATTCGTTCCGGAGGTCTGTTCTTAACCTGAAACTGTTCTTAACCTAAAGCACCACTTTAGCTAATAGGGCCTCCTGCTGCCACCACGCCGCCGGAGCACAATTTCTGTTCTCATCCTGAAGCAAAGTTCTTAACCCGAGGTACTATTTCTGGGTTAGCGGAGTTTGTAACCTGAAGCGTATGTTACCCAAGGTACCACTGTATATTGTGTATCTTAACTGTGCTTTTAAAAACCAAAACACTGAGGTTATTTTAGTATGTTCTCATCTCTCATTTACTATGTGGTGATGATACCTACTTAAAGTTTATTAAAAAACACTTCCGAATTGGTGTTTGGTCAGTTAATCACTGCTGCTCTGTGAACTCCATTCATTTCAATGGGTGGGGGAGTATGCAAGCTACATTTAAAATCAAGGCAAGTTAGTTATTCTGCAGTCTTTCAGGCTGTTGGTCATACTTTGATGGCTATCACTAATCACATCATTGGTAGCTGTTAATGTAGCTCTTTCCACTCCCTGTAGTACACAGCTTCAGAAAATTACAAAGAAAAAAAGCATAAATTTTAGGGGGGAAATATTTAAGTTCAGCTACTGTCTCTGGGGCGGATGGGGAGTTGACTTGTTGGGGAATGAAGTGATATTGGATAAATGGCCTAGTACTAAGGCAGCCTATGTATCTAATCTCACAGGGAAATCAAGAAAGGAAATGTAGGTCTGGCATTGAACGTGTTTGTGAACAAGTTCCGTGACAGCATGGGCCGAACAGTAGACTTAGGATTAGTTGGTCAAGATGGAGTGGTGCATCCTAGTCTAGAGGTAAGTACTCAGTGCAGATGCTGTAACACTTTCAGCCGTGCTTGGAAAATTTGCTTGTGTTGCATTATAAAAGAGGGGTTTCTTTAGGTTTCTTGGTCCTGGTCCAGTGTCAAATCCTTTCCGTGTAGAAACATAGGAAACGACCTTGTAAGATGTCGGACTACTGATCCATTGTGCTCAGTACAGAGTATGTTGACTGGTTCTTTAGGGTTTCACACAACACTCTTTACCAGCTGTGTACATGCATGTGCAGAAAGCTGAACTTGGAATCTTCTGCATGAAAAGCGTGTGGAGTACCAGAGAGTTATGACTCATCACACACAACTGCTCTCAGAAATGCTAGTGTGAGCTGCACTGTATTGCTGTGCAGCCAGCTCACAATACTGCATTTGTGTGGGATTGTATACCTACACCTATACATGGAGAAATTTTACACTGCGGTCCTTTTTTGAGTTTTATTCATGTAGCCCAAATAACTGCTTAAACTTTGAAAGTATCAGTATTCACTAAATCAAAACAGAACTTTTTGGATTTCATGGCTTAAGGAAAACCTGAAGCAAGCCCTGTGAGAACCCAAGTGGAATGCCATTTAGGTTGCTCTGTTAAACTGTACCTTGCAATGCCCCTGTTGCCTCGGTCACGCTTCCTTCTGACGCACTATGCACTAATCCTTATTAGGCACACTACAATCTGTAACGGCATGGGACTTAGTATGGAAAACAATTTGGATCTTTCAAATGCTGTGATTGGGAAAGGGTACAAGGGGAAGTATCCAATGTTGTATAAGTGGACTTTCCCTTGGATACGGCTCAAGGGTTCCAGAAATTAGGGCTGAACCGGCTGCAATTCTAAAGCTGATAATGCACATGTGAAATGCTTGCCTTGCCAACTCTCCCAGTTGTTGAACCTGTATGTACAAGTGTGTGTACATGCATCTTCAGTGCCAGTTAAATAATACGAAGAACTGCCTCTTGGAAAAGGCTTTGACACTTTGCGTTCGTCTTCCTTCCAAAGAATGCCAAATTCATTATCTAACGCCTATTTTTGTTTGTGCTCTCTACTTTTTTCTCTTTTAGAAAATCACCATAAAGCACAGTGTGGGCATTTTTGTTTTGTTCAGTCTCCCTGAATTAGTTCAGTCATGGCGCTAATTCATTAAACCACTATCAGGTGGAATCTGAATATTTAGGACTGAACTTGACTGCCCATCTTACGGTGTGAATTCTAGTATATAATGTAATCTGGGGTAAATTACCAAGTCATTTGTTGGACTCGGCAACTGGGAGCTCCAAAGTGAAACCCCGTTCCTCAAGGAGTACCAGCTGGCTCCACGGTTGCAACACATTTAAAGATTGTGTGTGCATATATTATTTATACATAGAGGGAATGATTAATGGTTTGTGCAGAATTGACAAGTCTAAACCTGTAGTGCACTAAATATATATTTTTTCCTTGCAGGAAAGTGCCAAGAAACTTGAACAAAATATATATTATTTTGGTGTTGCTGTAGAAGGCTTGTTGAGAAGATTTGGCAAGGTAGCTAGAACTTTCTAATGGATAATTAAACCAAAGTTGTTTTCTTTCTTTCTTCTCTGCCCTTCCTTCCTTAGAGCCTAATCAAAGTGAGTGTTTGAAACCAAACTCATTTCTAGCCTAGAAATTGTCTTCAAGATGTATACTGAGGAGCTGTCAGGGAAGATAAATATTTAAAGATCATGTAGAAGCAGATGAAATGCACTGTGAGTATCTTTTCTTCCCCCAGCAACCTGAAAGACACTCTGCAGGTTCTGAGACTGTCTAAATAAAAAGGCACAGTCAAATGCTTTGATTTAGTACAGAGCTTTCCAAACTTTTCATGTTGGTGACACACTTTTTAGACATGCATCATTTCTTGACACAGTAATTCAGTCTTACTAGCAAACCAGGTTAAACTTTCCAGCCCCAGGAGGAGCACGGGGAGCGTTTGCGCAGGTCGTGACACACAAGAGTTTGGAAAACTGTTTTAGTACATGTGTGAATACTGCCAACTGAGGGCAGCTGTCTTCATCTGTTGAAACATGTTTTAGATTGATCAGGCAGTTCAGGATAAATCACTAAACTATTTGTGTGTTCTTTGTTTGGCATTAGACTATTGTGGATGAGCAGATGGTTCTCAAAAGGATAGCAGACATCCTCATCAATCTCTACGCAATGACAGCAGTTCTTTCCAGAGCTAGCCGATCAATCAGTATTGGTTTGCGCAATCATGATCATGAGGTGAGTACCTAGAGGTTTTACGCAATTTTAATTAATGTTGTAATCATGAATTAAAATCAGTATTAAGCAGACTGGTCAAGAAGGGGGAAAAACAGAATTGCTTTTGAGAGTATTATGATACTTTTGGATTCTGACAAGGGATATTTTGGACTTGCAATTATAGTTTCTTATGTCTGAAAATGTATTTTGTGTCAAAAGGAACCTGGAAAACCCTCACCAGATTATTTCTATTCTTGTGCTCCAGGGGAAAATTTTTTTGGCAGAGTAAATACATGGTGATGCCATTGGCTTTTTAGAAACCATTAGATGTATTCATGATGAAATGTCCATTTTCAAAGCTATTGGGTACATCCACTGTGTTGTGTCAAAGGGCGAGGACAAATAAGGCAGGTTTTACTAGCAGGCCCTGTTTCTAAGTCTTCTGGGTGCTAGGGCTAAGCAATGTCAGCTTTTCAACTTTGCAATGTATCACCAGCCAAACATGGTGATACATCGCAATGTTGGAAACAGAGGGGGTGCAACACAGACCGTTAGGAGAGGGGGGAAGGATGAATGCCGCCTCCCCGCTTTGCATCGCTCGCTAGCCTCTCCAGCACCACAGTCCTTTCCTCAGGGCAGCCGATTTCCCCTCTTGACTCCTGTCTGATTTTAAGCACCCTTCACCCAATCTCAAGGCTGGGGCTGCCTGTTCCTGCCACCAGGCTCGGAGGTGGTTTCACTTGCAGTATACTGCCGGTTGAAGCTGCCTTTGCACTCTGGCCCTCATCAGTACATCGCCCAAGCCTACTGGGTGCAGCAGGAGATAGAATGTTGTTAGCCTTCTAGTCTGAACCACCCTGCCAATGTAAGTACCTAGGCACACTCTGTAAACTGCTGGGCCATGTGTATTGCAACATATTTCACAACAGCCAGGTATCAAACAAGTTTTGTACAGCATAAAGCTCTTTAGAAAGTCTGCAAATCATGATCAGGTTCCAGCTATTCTGGTGCCCATGGTAGAAAAGTCCCTTTTGTTAACTTCAGCCATTCAGCTCTGGGGCAGCCGTTACTGTGAAAAAACAGAGGGAGGAGAAAGGATTATTAACGTCTACTTAAAGTCTTTTGCTGAGTAAGTATGTAGAACAGAAGCTGGGTGGTTTTTATTTCCATGAATTTATAATACAGAAATAAACGATAGTACATGGAGTTGAATTCCAGTGGTCTATTTTAAAGACAGGCCTATTTTCCAATTTGCTAATGATTTAACTGACTTCCTAGGTGCTGCTTACAAATATTTTCTGCACTGAAGCTGGCTTCCAGAATAATTATGCTCTGGCAGAATTAGAAAAAAGTAAGTGTTGCACTCGAGTCAAATGTTAACATCTTATATTGCCCACCTTGATACCAAATAAGAACTTGCTTTTAGCAAAGGCACAGGAAACCCAGTCAGTACTCCTGCCAGTTTGTTCATAGGCTGCAGCTTCAGTTTGTGCTAAGAATCTAGATGCCAAGGCAAGCCTCGATAGTCCCATGGTTTGCTTGTTCCTATAATTAGTGATAATGTGGCAGATGCTGCTAGTAGCTCAACAGCTTGTGTTTAGTGTCTTGGATCTTAAAAAGTCTGTTGCTCTCATTTAGATGTGACGCTAAAGGAATTGTTACTTCCGTTTCCATTATTCCTAGATGCTCCTGAAAACATGGATGACAGCATTAAAAAAGTGGCAAAGCAGGTGCTGGAAAAGAGAGCATATATCTGTTCTCATCCACTGGAAAGAACATTTTGAAAATTAGGAAATGGTGACCGACCTGCTGTGGAGCAAGATGCTCTGTGGCGCAAGTGACCTTTGGGGCAGAATGTGCAACTGGCAACTTGCTAACAAACCATATTATTTTCCTCAACGGATGTGTTGTTTTTATAAAATAAAACTTCTTTGATTTTATGTACCTGAATGAACGTGAAAATCCCAGGACAAAATCCAGGCATATGACTTAAGGAGAAGTGCACAATCGACCTACTTTCTAGTCTTATATTTCATTTTAGAAACCCTATGCTGCATAATACTTGCTAGAATGCCCTATCCAGCTAGAGATAAATGAAAATGAGGCTGTAATAGCAAAAAGGGGGTTCTACCCCCAGGAGCCTCTCTGTTTCCCTACACTTAAGACTTAAAGATTCAGTAGAGGGCCCTGCCATTTGTGCCTGAGTAGCCAGTTGAAGCGCCCACGAACAATTTGCACCCATCATTTGGCTGCTTCTCACAAGCAGAGGGACACCTTGGCACAGCAGATCGGACCTCCGACGCTACAGCGTAAATTGTGCTGTGGTAAGCCAAGCATAGAAATAGCTCTGGAGGAACTGAAAATGCAAAATAAGAACTTGCACTGCGTCATTACGAGTAATCTTTCCCCCCTAAATTACTTTGAAAGGTAATGCTTTGCTTCAAACAACTGACTTCAGTCTCACCAGACAGATCAATTCTTTTGATTCCCATAGCAATATTTCCAAGTGCTAAAGCTTAATGCTATCTCTGTACCCTAGCTCTTCTTCAAATTAACTTCAGCATTGCACACAGAAAAAAAGCAGAGTGACTATCACTACTTTAGCCTATTAAACTCCTTAGCAAGACACAGGAAAAAGATCATTGGTTTGTGTGCCACACTGTAATCAGTGCTTAATTCCCCTCATTACCTGCAGTCTGTGTATCCTCTGCTATTTGGATTTCTTCCTTAAAGACCAATTTCTGCAGAGGCGGCCCCCTGTACCGAAATGAACGCTTACGACAAATCAATCTGCAAAACAGAATAGACTTTTTTAAATGGGTGAAAAATTACGATTACGTCCCTTGCGGAACAATGAAATTGAAAAACTACATAAAACTACATAAAAACTGCATAAAACTACTACAAAACTACATAAAACATTCAAAAACCCCTAAAAATTCTAAAACCCCATTTTAAAATACACTATACTACAGAGACCCCTTATGCTGCGTTTAGAACCAGAATTGCATTAGCGTAGAAACTGTTTCTCAGGCGGCTAGTCCTGGGCTGTATAACCCTATACCTTCTTCCAGAAGGCAGAAGCTGAAAGAGATCATTTCCGGGGTGCATGCTATCATGTGCTATCTCTGCCACTTTCTTATGGCACCTGGCAGCATAGACTTGATCTAAGGAAGAACTTGATCTAAGGAAGAACTTGATCATTAGGAAGAACTTCCTGACAGTAAGAGCTGTTCGACAGTGGAATTTGCTGCCAAGGAGTGTGGTGGAGTCTCCGTCTTTGGAGGTCTTTAAGCAGAGGCTTGACAACCATATGTCAGGAGTGCTCTGATGGTGTTTCCTGCTTGGCCAGGGGGTTGGACTCGATGGCCCTTGTGGTCTATTCCAACTCTATGATTCTATGATTCTAAGGTGGGAAGAGTGCACCATGCTTAAGAGTATAAGAGTATGTGCTTTCATATTTATGTGCTAAGTTTTTATTTAAACATTCAGGGTACAAAATATGCATAAAATAATGGCCTGACCCTACTGAAAGAGAAATGTCAAGCCTTGCACTGTCACAGATTAAAGCTTACTCCCCTACTCTTCCAATATATTAACTTAATTTACACATGTTTTTAGCAAGGTGGAGTATCTGGGTTATTCAGGTCTCCCAACTCCAGGGATGAGAGACCTCTGGCCCGCCAGCTGCTGAACTACATCTCCCATCATCCTTCACCATGCTTGCTGGGGTGGCAGGAGTTGGAGTTTTAACAACATCTGGAGAGCAACAGGTTAGCTACCCCAGCTTACTCTGTCCAAAGCTAAAAAGAGAACTCTGGATGACAGTTCAGAATTTCTGCAGTAATTTCCGATGGCTAATGCCTTTCTATGATTCGATCTGCAATCCTGCACAACAGGGCTGGGAAACCTGTGGGGCTTCACATGTTATTGGCAGCATGGCCATGGCCAGAAATTGTAGCATAGTAATACCTGGCGGGCTACAGGATCTTTACCTTTGCTGTACATACATCCTAAGTACATGTGCCAGTAAACTACCTGTAACATCATCTTGCCACGCCAGTGTGTGATACAGCAGCTAGATGACTTACCGGAAATCTTCTCCCTTCAGCGTTTTAAATGTATCATGTTGCCTGTCATAGCATGGAATTATATTGTCATTCCTCTTCAGGCTGAGGAGTGGATCAGCGCCAGGAACAAATCCTTTGCAGATCCTTTTCTCTTCCATTTGGTCTGCCATTCCAGCAACTGGGGTAGGCTAGTGGAACAGGAATAGCAGGTTTCAGAACATTGCTTCTAAATATACAGCTCCATGTGTGCGTTCCCAACACTAGGAATCAGAAATACAATTCAGATCAAAGCTGCATTGAAGACACTGCAAGGTCATGTCCATAGGCTGGTACAGTGACCTGAAACAGCACTGAAATGAATAAATTCAGGACTGGTGTGTCTTTGAAGTATATTCAAAGAGTAATAGTGTATATGTATGTGTGTATACACACACACACACACACACACACACACACACACACACACATATATATATATATATATACACACACACACATATGTGTGTGTGTGTGTGGTCTTTTTTATATACTTATGCATCACACAAACAAGCATTAATTTAATTAAATTAAAACGGGGGGGATACAAAAGCAAAAATACAAGGATATAATCATAACATAAACTATAATAAAAAATATAAAGATTATATTCTCCTAAAAAAGAAAAAAGAAGAAAATTAGAAAAAAAGAAAAAGTGACTTCCAACTAACTCCATGCAGATCTTTCTTTCTCATATCACTGGTTATCTGTAAAGATTACATTTTTTGAGAGATATCCTAATTACCTGTGAGATTTTTATTCTAAGCTAAACCAAGTATGAATCTGGCAAATATATTGATGCCTTAGCAAATATGTTGATGATTTGGGGGGTGGGATGCAAAGCATATCACCTTAATATGAACTCTGTATGTGCTACAACAAGGGTATGGACTGGATCCAGCTGGCTGGCCAGATCCTGGGTTCTCAAACCTTTGGGCCATTATACAGGTGGATGGGGCCAATCACCAAATGTCACACCGTTCGGTGACCCATTTTCCTTCGTAGTGTGGCAAGCCCAAGCGGGGCTTGAAGTTACTGCCCTTCAGCTGACAGGCATTGACTTAAACCTCCTTTCTGCTGTGCTAACATCTTCCCCTCAATGGCACAGCTGTTCCCAACCTGCTTGCTCTCACTGCCTATCAGCTGATGGGCAGTGACATCAAGCCTCCCTTGCCAATGCACAGGTAAAAGCAACCTTATGGTACCAGATTGTGCGCTAGCAGCAGCATTTTTCTTTGTTCCGGACCTGCCATCGCATTTGATGATGTGTGTGGTTTGGGGAAACCAAACCTTGAGAGCCAAATTGGGAGCCATGCCAGGTCTGACTAGGCATGTAAACTGGTGGTTCCCCATGACTTTGGCAGTAAATCTGGCTCCTTTAGGACTGCCAGGTTTAGGATTTCTAAAAAGTCAATGTTACCAGCATTCTTAGGGACAGCTTGGCCGGTGCATCTTTCAGGAGTCCCTGGAGCCGGGCTAGCTGGCAGCTGGCTTTGGGTCCACTTGCAGTGAGCTCTGTCGATGGGCAGCATCGATGAACTTTCAGTCCAGTGTTGCATCGTATCTCTTTTGGAGGCTCTTTTGTTCAGAAACATGCCAGTTGAAAAATGATAAAAAAGAGAACTATATTATGACAAATTTATATCCTTAACCCACTTCTAATTACTAGCTGTTAACGACTTTTGCCTCATCAGTTCTGGAAATGCATCTCTAAATCATAAGCGTAGATTCTTTAGATTACATGATTAGGGACTTCCGCTCTGCCACGGACCACAAAGGAGCGCGGGTTTAGCCCTCCGGGGAAAGTCCAAGCTTTGTAGAGAAAACAAGGTCACACAAAGGCGCTGTGGACCTCAAAAAACCTGAAAGTGTTAATTTGAGGTGTAGGGGGATCTGGCTGTGCCATTAGTGATCTCTCTTGCCTCCCGGAAGGAGCGGAGAAGGAAGGTGAGATTGAGGTCTGGGCGCTTGGATTCATATTTTATCTCTGCAAAAGCGAAGGCTCTGGCTTTTTGTGGATTATAGCAATTTAAAAACGGTAAAGGTAAAGGGACCCCTGACCATTAGGTCCAGTCGTGGCCGACTCTGGCGCTCATCTTGCTTTATTGGCCGAGGGAGCCGGCATACAGCTTCCGGGTCATGTGGCCAGCATGACTACACTGCTTCTGGCGAACCAGAGCAGCGCACGGAAACGGCGTTTACCTTCCCACCGGAGCGGTACCTATTTATCTACTTGCATTTTGACGTGCTTTCAAACTGCTAGGTGGGCAGGAGCTGGGACCGAGCAACGGGATTCGAACCACCGACCTTCTGATCGGCAAGTCCTAGGCTCTGTGGTTTAACCCACAGCACCACCCACGTCCCACCGATTTAAAAAAAACCCAAATCCTTAAAAAGAACTTGGAATCGATTGGATGTACCGTATTTTTCGCTCTATAACACGCACCAGACCATAACACGCACGTAGTTTTTAGAGGAGGAAAACAAGAAAAAAAAATTCTAAATGAAACAGTGGATGTATGATTTTTGTGGTTCATGCTGTGGCCACAGATATGTGATCTGACAGTGAGTTTGGAGTAGCCCAATGCAAAAATCCTGAGGGTCCATGTGGATCCATGCTTTGTAACCACGTTTTTGCACCACTGCGACCCTAGGCAACAGTGGGTGAGTGATTTTTTTTGGTGCAAGATGTAGCCATGGACATGCTATGTGATCTGATGGTGAATTTGGGGTGACCCAATGCAAAAATCCTGAGGATCCATGTGGATCCGTGCTTTATAACCACGTTTTTGCACCATTGTGGCCCTAGCAACAGTGGGTGCGTGATTTTTTTGGTGCAGGCTGTAGCCATGAACATGCTATGTTATCTGATGGTGAATTTGGGGTGACCCAGTGCAAAGATCCTGTGGATCCATGCTTTGTAACCACGTTTTTGCACCATTGCAGCCCCAGGCAACAGTGGGTGCGTGATTTTTTTGGTACAGACTGTAGCCATGGTCATGTAATGTGATCTGATGGTGAATTTGGGGTGACCCAATGCAAAAATCCTGAGGATCCATGTGGATCCGTGCTTTGTCACCATGTTTTAAACGGGGAGGGAAGGAAAAACACAGAAGGGACAAGGAGCACAAGAGGGGTGTGCGGAGAAGCAGCTGGCTAAGAATGCAGGGGAGGGGTTTAACGGGGGAGGGAGGAAAGGAAGGCAAAAGTCCCCCCCCCAACCCAAGCCAGCCCACTCTCTCTCTCTCCCCCCCACCTGCATGTTTTTTGGCTGCCTGCGAGTCCCTAGAGCACGGAGAGGAGGAGGTGGTGGGCTGGAGCCTGCACGCAGTGTGACTAGGAAAGAATTAGAAGGAAGGACTCGATCCTTTCCTTAACCCTCTGCTTGCCAGGAGGGCAGGGGATTCCCTGCTCTTTGTTGAGTTTGAGCAAACGCAGCAACAAAAGCGGTGGGCAGTAAGACCCTGAGGCAGAATGCAGGAAAGCAGCAGCTTCCGCCCGCCCGATCTTATTTTTGCCTATTTTTGCCCCTGCAGCTCCAGGGACCACACATTCGCTCAATAACACGCACAGACATTTCCCCTTACTTTTTAGGAGAAAAAATCTGCGTGTTATAGAGCGAAAATTATGGTAATTTGTTTTAGAACGATTTGGTTAGCAGCAGGGTCAAAAAAAGAGGTCCGTCCCAACTGCAGTGAGATACAAAATGCATGGAAACTACTTACAAATTGTAACGTCATAATAGAAGTCTTCTCTACTGTAAGATTTAAAACTAAAACTTACTACAGAAATCTTTTTATACTCATTTCCATACTGCTGTCCGTAATTTTTGGGAGGCTCTCCTAAAATTTCATTAGCTCAAAGGCTTACTGCCAAAATCATCAATTGCATTTGTTCAGACAAATACATATTAAAGGTTGCAGTCCTTTTTACTGTAGGACTGTTGCATCCATTTCCCTCCCTCTCTGCCTGTGCAACCACAGAAAATACAACCTTTGCAATTTCATTAAAAAGGTTAGCCAGCCTCTCCAGGAGAAAAGCCTGTTGCTGAAGTCATTGGTGACATTTCCCCACCTCCATCACAACACATTCAACAACAAAGATCCTCGTGCATGACAGCCTTCTCTGGGAGCTGCTGCAGCATTTGAAAGCTTGCAGTTGTGGGGTGCAGTAATCTCTGCAGGCCATTCCCACAAAATTGTTATTTTTACACATAACAGCTACTGTAGGATGACCCCCTGGAAAAGTAGCTCCTGCACCACTGCTCTCAATTATGTAAAGAGAACCTGGATTTCCTGACAAACAATGGCTAGGACCTCCTGTAACTGCGTAGTAGAAACGGGTATTTTGCATCAACACCCTTACCTCAAACATGTGCCTTGTGTTAACACACACTTTTTGAGATGCTGGATTAAGATGTAAAAGCAACTGACTGCATGCCAAAGTAGCTCTTTCGAACCTGGACAGTATTTCTATATACTGAATGTGTACTTGCAGAGATGCACCACTTCTTAAAGAGCTAAAGCCGCTCCAAGGAAAGGTATGGAAGCTAGCATATACCTTCTCTCTGAGTATCAAGAAGCACATGGGCACATGGAGGGTTCTTTTTGTAAAGCTCAAAATCTGCATGTCTCTTGTCCCAAGGCCATCTGTCCCGGTCCGGAATTGTCGTCATGTCACTGGCTTTCACGTGCTCCTGCCATGTCTAAATGAACATTGCAAATCTTTTAGCACAAAATCTGTCTTCCTGAAACTTCGACAGTATAAACTTCAAATCACACAGCAATATATGAATATGTCAAATATACCATATTGACGGAGGACAAACGTAGCTTCCGTTCAGCAATTTCCTTAAGATGAAAAAGAAGAAAGCCAGCACACAGATACCAATATTTTGTATGCTGAGATAACGCCTGTGATCTGTTAGTTCTTAGGGTCCACTTGATCTTGTTTCTCAAACAGCAGGTCCCCATGCCAGATGGCAAATGTCTTTTGAACCTGAGGGGACTTTCCAAACCAGTTTGCAAAATAGCATGGGTGAAAGCTAGTCAAAGCAAATGGTGTCTTTTAAAAAAACCCACCAAAAACCCACCTATTTGATTATCACAGCTCCTGTTGTTATTTTAATTTATTACCCACCTTTCGGTCCAAGGGTTACAATAATGTAAAATGCAGTTTAAAAACTTAAGAATTAAAAAATACAGTTTTAACGGTGGGTCCCAGTCAGTGTCAGTGGTAGATAGCACTACTGAATACATGCTTTAGCTGATTAATCAGCAAGGACAAATTTTAATTACCGTATTTTTTGCTCTATAGGGCGCACTTTTTCCCCTTCAAAAATGAAGGGGAAAATGTGTGTGCGCCCTATGGAGCGAAGACGCCATAGCCCCGCGACCCTCTCCCGGCTGGAGAGGTGACGCGTGGCTATGGCAGCAGCCTCTATAGCCGCATGCCACCTCTCCAGCCGGGAGAGCGTGCGTGGGGCTAAAGAAGCCCCGCTTACCCTCTCACGGCTGGAGAAGTGAGGCGCAACTATGGCAGCAGCCTCTCCACTGCGCCCTTCTGCTGCTCCCTGACCTGCTCTTTGGGGCTGGTGGTGGGCTTCCCCCCGCCAGCCCCAAAGAGCAGGTCGAAAGGAACCTGAAGCCTGGAGAGCGAGAGGGGTCGGTAGCCTTCCAAGGTAGCCGCCTGAACGCACCTTAAACGGCACCTTGTTTTAGAGCGGGAAAACAAGATGGGGAAAATTCTCCCCCTCACTGCGCAGCGCCTCCTACAACTACGCTGAAGGGGCGCTGGGCAGAGAGGGGGAGAATTTTTTTTTCTTGTTCTCCCCCCTCTAAAACAAGGTGCGTCCTATTGTCCGGTGCGTCCTATGGTGCGAAAAATACGGTACTTGACCTAAGATTAGAAGATGCATGACTAGGCAAAAAAAATCTTAATTTCACGAATATACTCATGGGATCTTCTCACAAGCTACCAGCAGGATGCAGAAATGCATGTGCAGTTCTTTTTCACAACCAAAGCTGTTTTCTACCCCGCCTTTCTACTATATAAAAGTCTTCAAACCAGCTTAGAATAAAAATGGGCAGAGTAATTCTACTGGATCTGGGCCAGGAGCACTATGGCAAATCCAGAGCTCTGTGGAGAAGCGTTTTGCCAGCATCTTTTATTCCTTGGCTCTCTGTTTCTTCTTTAGAAAGTGTTTATTCTTCTGCTGGTTATCTCCCTCCGTTCTGGGAGTGTTGAAGGTACAGGAGGGATATGGATTCAGCAGATCCAAAGCCGAGTCTCCCATTCACCTCTGGTACACAGCCTTCCTACTGATTACCCCAATTTTTGCCCTCTCTGCCGGTAGAGACCTAATGGTAAAGAAGTGATGGCAGCCAACATTTTTATTGTGGCTGGATGAGATTCCAGGGGCAGACCCCTTTCGCTCTCTCTCTCTGCCTGTGGAGAGGGAGAATCTACGAAATGCTATAGTCCCTTGGACAACCTCCCAGGACCACAGGACTGCACCAAAAAGTCACAAAAATAAAAAAGATCTTAAGGGTGCAATCCTGCGCATGCTTATCTGGACGTAAACCCCATTAAACACAGCAGGGACTTGCTTTAAAGTAAACATGCACAGGGTTGTGCTGTAAATCTACCAATAAACACAGCAGTATTGTTTAAAATACAGCATATACCTGGGAGAATAAAAGCAAGTTCACACTGTTCAAGGACACGCAGAATGTGCCTAAATGATCACAGAATCATAGGATGGTAGAGCTGGAAGAGACCCTGATAAGAAGATGTATGGTAGTGGAGAGTGAATACTGGGCCTTGATCAGAGAGACGAGTGTCAAATTTGCATTTGCCACAAAACTCACTGGATGGCCTGCAAGAAGACCCTGTCTCTTAAATATTCCTCACAGGGTTGTTCTGAAGATAAAATGCCACATGGAGTAGATTACAGATGTGGCAGGAATTTAAAATCCGCCATTACCTCATGCAGCTCCCTCACTCGTGCTTCGTCAGGCTTACGAGGATGCAGGTTGGATTCCATGCTGCTCTTATATCCAGGATACACAAACCCTCCTGGTGAGAGCCACATCATCTCCGATTGGTGCATGGACTCCTTTAGTTCGCTGTCTTCATCTACTGGGTCAAACATGGCTGACAGATATTCATGATTGTAAGCAAACCTGTTGCCTGGATTCTAAGAAAGAAAGACAAATGTTTCCCTCAGAAAGAACTCTCATCCTCTATGTTTCTCCACAGAGAAACAAGTTTTGCTAAAAAGAGCAAAGCCTGAACTTTACAACAAAATTCTGTACATGTTCCTAACACAACAATGATAACTGGGTTGGATTTAGAGTGTACAGAAAACACTTAAGAAACATGGATGTCTAGAAATCCCATAGATACTTAAATTCACTTAAGAAACCTGGATGTCTAGAAATCCCATAGATACTTAAATTCACTTTAGAAGATAAAGCAATATTATCATGAATTCAACGACAAAAATCCAGCCCTCCAAGTAAGACATGAGGGATGCACTCCCTTAAAATGCAAAAAGGTGAAATTCTGGAGTATTTTTAATATATATATGTAAAAAATTAAAATATAAATATAATTTTATATATATATATGTAAAAAATTAAAAATACTCCAGAATTTCACCTTTTTGCATTTTAAGGGATTGCATCCCTCATGTCTTACACATATACACACATATACACACAAAACACTATGAATCTGAACCACTGGACTCCCAAAATCTTCACAAAATTCTTAGAAAAAAATTCCAAAATTTTACCAGACATACCAGAAATCATTAGATCAATCTTTTACTCTAGCAGAAATCCAAAATGGGATGTACTAATCTCACCTCTGCCATCTCTTGACGAAGCAGCTTCTTTGCAATTTCTGCAGAATTTAACGTCTGACAACTGTAATTAAAGATGGACTTGCCATCAGAAGGGAAAGCCCTGATGATTTTGCTGCCTTCCTTTTTCACCATCTTGCTGAGCAGATGTATATTCTCAATATTAGACTGGAAGAAAAGTTAACACATGTAATTATTCTGGTCTTGTTAGACAAAAAGAAATGTACTTTTGAAAATAGACACAGGACTTCTGCCGTGGAAAAAGTCGGTAGCTGGACTGGCAGGTAAGTCAAATCAGTAAGCTGTAGCCAAGTTTTTCCAACTCAGCCCACTGTCAGATCTTCTAATCCAGCCTTTCTCAACCATGGATCCTTTCACCCCCAACCACTGGTCCTGCTAGCTAGGGATGATGGGAGTTGTAGTCCAGCAACAGCAGGGGACCCAAGGTTGAGAGAGGCTGCTCTAAACAGTCACCAGGCAGCACATAACTGAAGGCGAAGATGTAAATGGAGTTGGAGCTCTAGCTGTGGGGTCCGATGTCTTCCTTCCCTTGGGGGAGGAGAGCTCACCTTGCAGACTGCCAGCTGCCAACCACTTTTCTTTGGAGACATTCAGCTTCCTATTTCCCACTATCAACCAAGCTAATTTATTCACTGTAATAACGTTCATATTTTAGAAGTGAATACTTGGAACTTCTAGAAAACATACAGGGCACTAAAGACCATCACCTGCACATCTTTCACAGAGGCTCTAAAACCCAGCTGCTTGCTTAGTCTTTGTTGCCCTAAAGGTGTCAGAATCCACAAAGGGCTCCTTCCCTTATGAGCTGGCTTTTTAATGAACCCTCAGGCCTACTATCATAGGGCTCACACAAGTCCAACTAACAGCTCTCCTTTCTGGGGGGCGGGAGATCCTTGTATCCATTTTGTTCCTTTTCCTTGTTAAATTTGCTAAATAAATAAATCCTCTATGCCTGTGACCTGGTTGCTGTTCCTAAGGTGTGAGTCCCACTTGATTCAGAGGGACTTTAACCAGCTTATGATTTCTGAGAGGGAACAATGCAGGGATGGGGAACCTGCTGGCTGTCCCATTGTCCCTGACCACTGACTATGCTGGCTGGGGCTGATGGAAGTTGGGAGCCCAACAGAAAATGGATGGCTGAAGATTCCCCATCCCTGATATGTGTATATGTGAACCACAGGATGACAGAAGACCTCTTCACATGAGCAAACTGTGAGAAGCATCAGGAGCTTGCACCAAAAATAAATGTGGCGGAGTGGGGAATTTGAGCATTTTCTCGCTTTCAAACTAAAAACCCCTCATGTGCATGCTATAATATCACAGCTCCAGTAAGAAGGCACTTTGTTATACATAGACATTATCTGAACAATCTCTTTAGATAGGAATAGGCAATCTGTAGCACTCCAGATATTGCTGGACTACAACTCCCATCATCCTTGGCCATGCTGGCTAGGGCTGATGGGAGCTGTAGTCCGACAGCATGTGGAGGGCTACTGTTTCCCCTTTCCTGTCTTAAGGCAACCTTTCATTGCTGCAGCACACACACCTGGATAAAGTCTTCTGGTGTCTGGCTTTCCATTTCCCTTTTTCTAAGTAGATACTCTTCGTTGTGGTTATCTAGAGGGAAACGCCTATATTTTCTCACATACGAATACTTTGGTGGAATATCAAACATCCCTGAGATATCTGGGTGTTGCTGGATGAACAAGTCATCCTTTTTCAATGGGATCCCAAACTCTTGGCTCAACACTGTGATCATTTCTGCAGATGGCAAGAGATCGTGATGGACCACATCTCTTAACCTCATACTGCGGCAGATAGAATCAAGCCTGAAGAACAAGGCAGAGAGAGAGAGAACATAAGCATGTGAATAAGGGTGACCCAGCAGACACTGTGTACTTGGCTTTCAAAAAGCTTTCCATAGACTCCCTCACCAAAGATGATGATGATGATGATGATTTGTTGAATTTATATACCACCCTATCCCCTGGGGTCTCAGGGAGGTTCACAGAATAAAATTAAGATACAAAATGCATAATAAAACGACAACACAGTAACACCCACCCACCCAAAAAACAACATTCGTGAGTATGCTTAGAAGACATGAAGTAGGAGGATCCTCTTATGGATCATAATCATCTAAACAACAAGAAGCAGAGAGTAAGAATAAATGGGCAGATCTCATAATGGAATAATATAAATAAACAAACAAACAAATAATTAAAAAACAACACACAGTATTCCAAGCATAGTTGCACCACAGACTTGTATAATGGCACCATGTTATTGGAAGGTTTTTCCCCCTCAATCCCTTTCCTCGTGATCCCTAATACGGATCAACAACGGGTCAACATGCATCATAAACTCAAGAATCCTTTCCTAGTCAGTCACGGCCAGTTCAGGTCCTATTAAGATGTAAGTGAACTTGTGCATTGCTTTACAGCTGTTTACACTGAACCACATATGCCATTTTAAGGCCAGTTCACCCAATTTGGAGAAATCTTTCTTGATTTCCTTACACTCAACATGTGATCAGGGACCCCAATACCGTAGGAGCCCTGATTACATGAAGTACCGGTAGTTCAAGGGAATGAATGGAAGTAGAAGCCCCCTGCAGTCCTTCTCCATGCAACACAGGGGAGTTTGGGGACTCAAGGGTATCTGCTATGGGCACAACGACATTGGGGGCAGGCCCTGTACATCTGCTCTTCCCCCATTTGCATATTCAGATGACTTCCTGAACATACCCTGAAAGGATTATATCATTATGAAGCACATTGCCAGAGCAAAGGATCTCAAAACTGAGCCAAATCCAATTATTAAGGAAGCATAGTGTGATGAGACTATGGAGAATCAGATGATTTCACACACACCCTCTACATAGAACAAGATAATCAAAAGTGCTATGAAAATTCTCTCCAAAGGATCTAGTGGAGGTTCCTCCACAACCAACAAAGATATATACATCAAGCTCTAAATATGTACAGAACAGTAAGTCAGAAATCCAAGAACAATCTAACCTGATGAGAGCTTCAAAACACGGAAGGGGAACCATATCCCTGATATATAACAAAGGCTGATTCACGATATTAGAGAGTGGCTTGCAGAGACGGATATGAAGAAGGATGGCTTCAAGGTCTACATAGAGGCGCTGATGAAAAGAGAAGTGTGAGTTATAGAATATTTGTAATCTTCCAATTTTAGATTCACGCAACCTGTAAGAGAGAAGAAATAGGACAGCATTGGCCAAATACTTCATAATCTTGTGTTTCCTGACATTTCATAGCACCTTTCCCCTTTCTTAGTCAAGGGTTTTTGATTTTAAGTATTATAAAGCTCAGATTAAAACCCTGTATGATAAAGAAGAGAAGCAGGTATCATATCAAGAGCAACTAATGCAAGAAAACTTGCATTGTTTTTAGATGCATGCATGCACTGCAAGAGGAATCATTTTAAAGGAGGCATTTCCTCCTATGGGAGAGATAAAAGGAATGTCTAAGACGGTGTTTATGAGAACTTGTAGGTTTAAAAAAAACCAACAACTTAAAAGTGCTAACTTGAACCAAGCACATCTTGAATCAAGCGAAAGGTTTTTTTAAAAAAAAAATCATGAATACTGCTCCAATAACATATCCTAGTACTGGAAAGTTGACCCTACCATATCACCAGTAAGGTAAAATTAGCCAGTCTCACAATGATCTTAATTCCTATCTTTCCTATGTGTTAATTTTAATAGTACTTTAGTTGCAAACCTATAGAAGACTCATTTGGAGTAAGTCTCACTGAACTCAATGGAACTCCCATCTCTGTAGGATTGCACTACCAAGCATATTTAAGAGCTCCATGTCAAAAGGCAGTCCTAAACATTTTCTTATTCAATTCAGATTATGCTTGGCATATACACAGATGCTGACCTGGAAAAACTTGAGTGACTCCTGCTTTGCTGTTTTGGTAGCGCTAGTCCTGTGCTGTATAGAAATCTCATGGGGTGGGGAACCTGTTTGCTCTATTTCCCTCTTTCCCATTTGCAGCGGCATCCATAGTCCCATGAGTTTCAAAGGAGATGTGAGACTGACGACACCAGACTACAAAAGGGCTTCGATTTATTTTGTCAGGTCTCAAAGACCTAGCCCTTTCTGAAAAACAGCTAGTGGGGTATACAATATCTGGCATCTCCAGGTTGGGTTGTCCTTGTCTCCTTGTCTGAAAGCCTGGAAAGTCACTGCAAGCCAGGGAGGGCAATCCTGAGCCAGAAGGACCAATGGCCTGATTCAGTATCAGGCAGCTTCCTATGTTCCTATACGTGGAAAGGCACTCATCCGTCCACAGACAAAGGAAGGGAAAATATTTGGAGGAGGGGTAACGTGCTACTAATCCAAAAGGCATCCTCAGCACTCCCACCTGTATTTTTGGGGATTTTCTAGGATGCAGCTTGTAGCGCTCTGAAAAACTCCAAAACCAGCCTGAAGCAACAAGCATAAATTAACACATGGGTAAGCAAACAATGGCCTGGGGTCCGGATCTGGCCCAATCGTCTTCTAAATTCGGCCCGCGGATGGTCCAGGAATCAGCGTGTTTTTACACGAGTAGAATGTGTGCTTTTATTTAAAATGCATCTCTGGGTTATTTGTGGGGCATAGGAATTGGTTCATTCCCTCCCCCCCAAAAAAATAGTCCGGCCCCCCACAAGGTCTGAGGGACAGTGGACTGGCCCCCTGCTGAAAAAGTTTGCTGACCCCTGAATTAACATATGAGCCCTTTGATAATGAAACCTGTTCTCATTCTGCCTCCAAGTGCATGAAATGACTTTCACATAGCCTCGGCCTTCTAAATTCTTTTCCTCCATCTTGCATTCCACCAGGTGACTCCTTTAAAAGTGACTGGCACTGTAACGTGTTAACATTTGTACATTATGACGCTAGCAAGGAAGAATGAAATTAAAAGTGCTCCACAACTTCTTAGTATTGTCTGTGAACTCTGATTATTTGGTTTAGGAAAGATTGTTGGAAGTGAAAGAGAAATAAACCAGTACATCACTGAAAATACAGTTATAAAACAAAATTAACATTAAAGGAAACAGTTTGATTACAAACAGCTCAACTGGCTGTAAAGCCCTTAAGGGCCAAACTAGATGAGATACCATTAGAAACTGCATGGCTGGCATTCTAAAAGTAAGGAGAAAGACCCAGTGCAGATCAGAATCCCCCTGGCGGCTGAGGGGAGTTAATTATTTGCCCCACAGTGTGGTCCCAGGTCACATCAAGTCCCCGGCACCTGCAATTTACATCAGACATATACCCCAGGTTGCTGCAACCTGTTGAAGTCCATCTTGCAGCAACTTGGAGGACACTCTTTCATGGAACAGCCTTGCCTCTGAAATAAGGCAAACACTTGCTAAAAATGTTCATGTTCATGGCATTTCCTAGCCATTGAAACTCGGGTTGTGGCAATTGTTATGCATTCTTGTTTTTAATGTTGTTTTTATCAGATTCTTTTATATTATTGTGACAAGCCACCTTTGAATTTATTTTAAATGAACAGTGGCAGATTCATTCCATTAGCATGAAAGGGAATTCTTTCAGTGCAAAATAGGAGGCATGCAAGAACTCTGCCATGAGGGGAAAGAGCTAATGCCTTCCTGCAAACACACACACCACCTGCTATTTACTTTAAAAAGATATCCACAGCAACTGCTAACTGCATAAATTACCATCTAATCTACTTTCTCCCTAGGAAGCAGGAACTGTAGCTCAACATCAGACATAAGGTGTGTGCCTCTTCAGTGCCAAGACAGCACTGCACTAGCAAACTTCTAATGGGCAAAATGGGAACGAGGAAAACCAAAGTGCTGCATTAGACTAGTCTCATTATTTTCATAATTTGACTGGTGCATTTTTATTAAAACATAGTGAAACAACCAAAGTACCCCAAAATCCTGGCGCTGAAATTTTGGGCTAACTTTCAATTTTGAAAGCATCTTTGAACAGATCCTGAAAGTCCTGTCTTCTATCCCTACGTAAACTAGTCTGATCACGACAGACCAGAAGCACATTGTAAGAAATAAGAAGCAAATAAACAAATGCTTCTCTATATACAAAACAGTTATATGAGGTTGAGTCTGACAAATCAGCTTTATAAAAAGATCACAGCAGAGGAAAATAGGCTTTAATTGCAAAATGTTTCTGGTTACCTGTCTATTCGCTTATTCCATAACCTCTTGAGGGCTTTGTTCTTTAAGCCTTCCACGATAAGAAGGTGAATGGATCCGTCCAGAATATGAAACCCAGTAAGAACGTCCAGCTGAGAAATCTCCTCATAAGTCATCCTGTTATTCAGTTTTAACGCATTAAGAGATTTATGAATGATGCGTAGAGGGTACGAATCCAGTTCTAGAGCCTCTGCGTTGATCTTTGTAATCTCCTGCAGCAAGTAACCTATGAGAGAAGTGTTTTTAAAGTCGAAAACATAGATGATGCAGCCATAGGGGCAATAATCATCTTTAGTGTCCTCTGCTTCATCTTCGGGAGTTAACGGTACAGCTATTTCAACTCTGACTTTAAGAAAGGCCCCTGAGCACACATAATGCCCCACTGGCATCTGGGCCACCGGAGAGCCGTCGGCAGCCTTAGCCTTCCTAGTGGCACTCGTATCCTGAACAGAGCAGTTGTGAATTGGAGCACAAAAATTCAAGGCCTTTTCCCCTAGCAGTAGTTCAGCCAAGCGGATTTTGGCTACCCCATATGGGTGCCACACTTCCTCCATGCCTTTCATGGGATTCTGGGCCACATATTTCGAAGTGACCGAGCTCAAATGGCTGAGCCTGCGGTCTCCTGGCTCCTCTCCAAACAAGGAAGGCTTTACATCGACATCTTGCCATTTTTTGTCCCGATCGTGAACCTCAATTTCCAAGGGTGGCCCTCTTAGATACTCATTCAGTTCGTCACGTCTTATTGTTCCTGCAAGAATCACGTTGGTATCTTTAAAGAAGACATGAGAGCCATGATCCCGGTCTTGCGTTCGATGTGGCTCCATATTATGGAATTTGTACTTGCAGTAAATAGGAAGGCATGAACGCTATCAAAAGGAAAGAGCAGACAAGAAAGGTGAGAGGGGCTGTTTCGGTCTCCTTTATCTCTCAGAAAATATATATACACCTTCTTTCAGTAAAATTAATCAAGTATGAAATAAAAATGCACCTTTGATTGAGGTCAGTTTAGGCTAGCCCAGTACATTTTGCTGCCCAAGACACAGCAGCATAGTGTCAGTTGCCGGTGCCCAGGGCAGGCAGGGGCAGGCACATACAAAGCAGATAGGGGGCGCCACCTCAGCCCTCACCACCGACAACGATGGAGCAACCCCACCCCCACCAAAGCAAAGTGGGGTTGCACTAAGCTGCCTGCCCACCCACATGGGGGAGCCAGCCAGCACAGCCCTTGGCGGGTGGAGAGGAGCGCCAGACCATCCTGGAGGCACCTAGTTCCATGGCCCCCCTGGCACCCCCATGCTACGCCATTGCCAAGGCCAAGCAGCAAATGACCCACCCCACCCTATCATGGGTACCCAAGGCTGATTAAAACTATTTTGGTACTCAGGGCAGGAAAATCCCACAAGCATCTCTTCTCTTCCCTGGCAGTAAAAGCACAATAACAAATTAATTATCAATTTGCTGTCTTTCATGTTGTCCAGATAAGTTCTGCCTGAGGCACCCACCTCATTCTGTCTAGTGGTAGGGCTGTCCCAGCCATGTAGCATAATCCAAGGCAGATTCGTGTCAGGGATAGGCAATTTGGAAGCAGCAGCAACAACCTGGTGGGGTCAATGGCAGTGGCAGCAAGAAGGTGAGAGTGGCTGCCCTCACTCTTCTGTTTCCCCAGTCCACTGCCTGAACTTGCATACTTTGGGAAGGGCCTGCCTTGAGGCGAGTGGGCAAACATGCTTCCTCAATGATTCTATGTGTATATAAAAAGTGCAAACAAGAGTTCTGGATGGGGGGACTTAAATGCGCTAGGTTTTCTACCACCACACGTTACGTAAATGCAGCGATCCAATATGGCCACAAGCTCACTTCCGGTTGTCTTTAGATTGTAACTGTTTTGCAAGTAAGAAATGGGGAAATTACAAATGTGAGAAGCAGGAGCTTTTCAGAATTCAATTGTTTCTCCCAGAATGTCACATGTAAGTTACTTGAGAAGAATGCTCTGAATTACCTGTAGCACTTTAATTGGAACAGGGGTGTCTGGTAAGCACCTTGCAGAGTTAATCTTAATGATCAGTGGGTTTAATTCATGTTTCTGTTTCTCACTCATCAGAGTCCCTTCAACAGAAAAGCTAAGATATGCGTCCCAAAGTTTAGGGGATTTCTCTCCTAGCTGACTGACCACGCAGTGTTGTCCTGGAAGTGGAATTACATTATTTATATAATCATTATAGCAGCAGTACTAAAGAAGCAATATGTTCTATGTCATTGCCTAATAGGCTTATTAAACCTCTTGGGCTGGCTGATCAGAAGGTCAGCAGTTCAAATCCCTGCAATGGGGTGAGCTCCCGTTGCTCTGTCCCAGCTTCTGCCAACCTAGCAGTTCAAAAGCACACTAGTGCAAGTAGATAAATAGATACCGCTGTGGCAGGAAGGTAAATGACGTCTCCGTGTGCTCTGGCTTCCGTTGCGGCAGAAATGGTTTAGTCATGTTGGCCACATGACCCAGAAAGCTGCTTGTGGACAAACACTGGCTCCCCTTGGCCTGAAAGCATTATGAGCACCACACCCCATAGTCACCTTTGACTGGACTTAAACATCCAGGGGTCCTTTACCTTTTTTAGGCTTATTCTCTGGAGAAACCACACCACATCATTTGGTCATTTGTGCCACTTTAAGAAATGCAAGAACCTGCAGAGAAAGAAGCAAAGACTAGGGCAACCTAGCAGTGCGTTCTGTTCAACCCGTCACAATTGCAAAGGAAGCAGGGAGCTCCTTTGGGGAAGGGCCACAGCTCAGTGAGAGAGCATTTCCTGAGCATGCAGGAGAGCCTTGCTTCAATCCCCCTGCTTCTCCAGGCTAGAGAGCTACTGCCAGTCAGTGTAGACCATGCAAAAATGATGGACTCATGGTCCTCCTGTCTCAGTATAAGGCAACTTCCTATGTATGAATATGACCACCATGTATGACCATGAGTGGGACACATGGTATTTTTTTAAAAGGTTTCCTTGGCCTAGACCTGACCTGCTCCCTCCCTTTATTGCTCATGTGTGCCCAACTCTCTAAAAATGCTTCCAATCATTGCAGTTCTGCAACGGAACAACATGTGAAATCAACAAGAAGCATCGAAGAGCATCTCTCCCCACTCTCCCCCATTACTACCTCCTTTCCAGCTCTCCTGTTGCCAACACTTTTAATACTGAATTTTAAATTGATGTACCCTGCTTTGACACCTGCTGGTGAAGGGCGGGCAGTAATTTTAATAATGGTGGTGGTTGTGTTAGTATCTGATAAAAACATACTACTTAGGGGGAAATGACACATAAAACTAAATTGCTTCCATTTTGTAAGCGTGATCTTCCCCCCTGCCCCGTTGCTCTTAACCTTCTGACTGGACCATTTCTTACTCATCTGCAGTTTGTAATTTTGTCTTCCATTCCCCTGCTCCAGCTTGCTTATTTTTACCTCTCCAAAGTTAGTCCCCAATTCTTCTCTCCATTATGTCAGCTACTGGCTTAAAAAGAACCCAACTGTCCATTAGCATCGGTCTCTCTCTCTCTCTCTCTCTCTCTCTCTCTCTCTCTCTCTCTCATTGCCCCTGCCACATATTTTCAGCCATCTCCTTATCATCAGTCCTCACAGTCAATGAATGGACAGGCCTTGAACTCAATAGGGAATCCTATCTCTCAAGGGTCATTTTTAGAAATTGTCACTGGAAGTACTGCAGATCACCAGCAGGGGGAAGGGAAGGTAAAGGACCCCTGGACAGTTAAGTCCAGTCAAAGGCGACTCTGGGGTTGCGGCGCTCATCTCGCTTTCAGGCCAAGGGAGCCGGCGTTTGTCCACAGTCAGCTTTCCAGGTCATGTAGCCAGCAGGACTAAACCGCTTCTGGCGCAACAGAACCCCGTGACACAAACTGTTGCACAGCAACACCGTTTACCTTCCCGTCACCTATTTATCTACTTGCATGCTTTCAAACTGCTAGTTTGGCAGGAGCTAGGACAGAGCAACGGGAGCTCACCCCATTGGAGGGGCCAGCAGGGGGAGCCCACATGCCAGCAGCAGAACTTCATATTGCACATGAAAACAGGGTGCCAGAAGAGGGAGCACTCCAAAGGAGAAATAGAAGGCAAAGGCTTTGCAAACCTCACTTGCAACCACAAGGCATGGAATACTTTTAGCATTCATTGTACTACATCTGTTACAAGTATGCACTAATCTGAACAGAACTGAAGGGAAACAGCCTGTATCAGTAGTAGTGCAGATTTGCTGAACAAAATTACAAAGCGCAAGAGAAACTGAGAGGAGCTCTGAAGGTGCCAGAGTGCCGTCCAATTAATGCATTAATGCCCTTGAAGCCTCAGCTTCAATTAAAAGCAAAACGTCCGGAAGCATGCAGCAAAAAGATAATTTGTATGTAAGCTGTCAGCTGAACCAGCAAAGCAGCATGCAGTCTCAGGGGGTTGCTGCTATGTACCTTGCATTCCTAATAGAAGTGAAATCACCATGAGCTTTTACCTTTCAGGCTTTTGCAGTTTGGGCAGCAGTGATGTCAAAAAAGAAAGTGCACATCTCTGCAAATTGTATTAGCTGAACCGTTCAACAGCACAGCAGGCAGGCAGAATGTTCCTATCACCCAACATGCAACATTTTAAAGCCTTATTGAGGCCGTATTTCCTGTAAGCTGCTATATTTTTCCTACATGGAAATATACAGCAGTAGCTAAATTGCATGCACACCGGCTGCAGGAAGAAGAAAAAAACCTTGTGCTCTGTATGTGTGTTTTTCTATACAAAGATTTGTTTGGTGGGGGATATATGAAGCAGCTCTAAGATTAACCTGCACTGATATGAAAGAAATAAAGAAAAATTCTTGAACTGCAGCCTTTTAACTATGTTTAAAAATTTAAACCCCACAGACGAAACCTTTTCCTGACATTTTATTTTGACAGATACCAGACTGTTTTTGCAAGAAGAGTTATGTTTGCAAACACTAAGAAAAACCAAAGGGAGAAATCTCAGTAATTTTAATGTCTTTCTTAATTTGCAATACAGCAAACCCTTATGAGGACCAGTCAATTCACAAAACCACAATTCCTGTTACTGGCTGAGTCCGGACAGGAAAATGTACATTAGGAAGTGGCAATCTGAATCCTTTGATCATAGATCTCCCATGCCTGTTATCCTTCTAACTAATACAGCAGCTGTGCCTGTACCTCTCTGCCTTAACCTTCTCATTTCTAGCCTCTGAGCATGCACGATTCCACTTCTGTACAGAGCCTGGCAAACTGCCAGCACTAATTAAATACTGACAGGAGTAACATGTTCAACATCATTCATAAGCAGTATCACAAAGGCAGGGGTAGATGATAACGTAGGAAAAGTGTCACTCAATTGTCTACAGCAGCCTTCCCCAATCTTGGAGTCCACAGATGTTGTCAAAGAGCACTCCCCCCCCATCTCCACTCAGCCTGGCCAACTGTCAGATATGATGGGAGTTGTAGTCCAATGATATCTGAGGGCTCAAGGTTAAGGAAGTATTGTCTACAACATGAGGCAATATTTCCACCCCCAAGCCTCACTCACCTTTTGACTTCCCCCCTCCTCCAGCTATTTTAAATTTTGAAAAGTTTGTCCTTCCTTTGCTTTATGGGGGTCAATTACTAACCTAAGTGTACACAGATGGGCTGGTAAGTCAGTTAATGCTTGTGGATTTGTTTACAAGGCTGGTCTACTTCAAATCCACAGCAGCTTTCAGAAATCACTAGATTTTCAGCACAACAAGATGCCATCCCCTTTTCTACTCACAGATATATGCATGTTATGTTCTGACTTTACAGACAGGACGTACCGCTTTGGGCTATCTGAATTTGTCCATTTCGCACACTCTCTTGGCAGAGCCAGTATTTGTCCCAACACTTACAATGCAGCTTCTCGCAATAAAACAAGCCACCTTCTCATTCACCTCTGCGACAAGCTGCTCAAGCATTTGACAATACCAAACTACATAACATCTAACCCAGGCTTCCTCAACCTCGGCCCTCCAGATGTTTTGAGACTACAATTCCCATCATCCCTGACCACTGGTCCTGCTAGCTAGGGATTATGCGAGTTGTAGGCCAAAAACATCTGGAGGGCCGAGGTTGAGGAAGCCTGATCTAACCACTTCGCCCTGCAACCTTACCCCCCCCCAAGTAGTGGGGTGTGGGGGTGCGAGGGTGTGGAAATACCTGACAAGAGGGGCATGAGGTTCAGCTCTAAAAAAGCTATTCCAAACTTCTTTGTCAGAGATGTTGAAGCTGCAGTTTCTTTAGTAGTTGATTTCTGGGTGCCCGATGCAGATCTTTTTTCTAAAACTCGTGAGGGTTTCTTTTTTTCTGGTAACTGGTGGTGCCCTGAAAGAGAACATATATTTCAATGGTCAAGTGTCTGATAGAGAACAGAATTTTATCCAATACCATCCATCAACATTAAACAGTACTGGTTTGATATATTTAAGAGAGCAACTGCTTGACCCGAAAAAGGCTGGGGAATTAATGCCTAGGCCATTAGCCAGGTTCAGCTATAGGTGACATAGTCACACAGAATCACCTGCACTGAACACCTTGCTGCGCTTGGGTAAAACAGCTTCATCCAGTCTGCGACCAATTTCCATGCACTTGCAGCCTTACCCACTGCCCTTGGCTTTGCAGGTAACCAGTGTGTGCTGCCATGCACTCTCTTTTCCTTTCAGCAAGAGGGAGGGAAGAGAATGATCTCGACACACAACTTGATTTGCGTATCTCTGGATTCTGCTGAATGTGTTGTGAACAGGTGTATGGATCTGAACTTATTTATACGGTTTATCTCCGTAGATCATTGCTTAAGTGTAAAGGTTGACATAACTTAAATATACCATGAGATTCTCCATTATGAAACTTGCTTGACCTTGGTAGAAGCCCAACACCTCGTCTCAAAATGTGCCATCACACCTTGTAAAGATCAGCACATGCAAATTTAGTTGCCAAGCACAGCCTATTCAAGCTCCTGAATGAGGGCCATCAAGACAAGGGTAAGGCAGAGAGCACACAAAAAGATGGCCATGTCCTGTCTGGTTCATATCTCTCTAGGAAATTAAGAGTTCTTTCAAACTCTCAAATCTGCAAAAAAGGCAAGGTGAGAAATGGGCGGGGGGGGGAGAGAGAGCCAGGAATGAGTCTCCTCAAAGCCCCTGCCTCCCTTCCCTACTAAGAGGCATTAGCTAAAAAACCCAGACTTTCAATAGTTAGCTGGCTATCATAGCTATCCCTAGCTCCAATGAGAAACTCTCTTTTTCTCTGTGCTCTCAAGGAACAGCACATGCCCGCTTTACTTTAAGGACAGGTGTACTCTTCCCTTTCCATTTCTTACTCTTAGTGTGGGCGCTGCTGGCAAAACTGTCTCACCCACATTTCTGTAAATAACTTCACTCCTTAGATAAAGGGGTGTGGGTGGGTGTATTGTAGGAGTTGCTGCTTGCTTAAATTGCAATTTTGCTTTCTGAAGTAGCATTTATGTATTCTATTTCGTATAATAATCCAATCTTTCTTTATTCCTTTGGTGTGAGATGTTCTTGCGGGCATAAGGTTAAGGGTTATTCATAACAAGCGCATGTTGTAATTCCAGCAAAAGACCTTAAATTTCTCTTTAGCGTATGCGTACTTGCACACACATGTAGGTTCAGACACATACTGTTGCAGTGTTAATTTACAGGAAGGAAATAAACTTTGAAGAAAGCTACAAAACCTATTCTATGCACCTGTAGCTGTCTGTCGTTTGTAGCAAAAGTTAAAAGATTTTACTCTCTACATTTTCACATTAGTTTGAATTTTACTTTTATTTTCAAAAGAGTCCTCATGAGAATTCACCAGCATTTTAGTGTGAATTTTTCCTGATATGCGTATATTTATATGTAATCTTGCCCCATAGACACATTTTTGGAAGGAAATTATCCAGAGCACAATGGATTTTTGAACGCCATTTTCACTAATATATGACTCTATATGCATCCTTTACCCAATATATACAATTTGCACACATTAATTGGTTGAAAATCCGCATTGTAAGTTTCAGAGAAGTGTGCCTTTCAAAGCATGGGTGTGCTTCAGCTCACATGTTGTTTCAGAAAGTCCAAATTAAGTACGTTCTCCTTTAAATATGAACAGAAATGAATTTCCTCCCCATCCCCACCCTACGATTCAGATGAAGAACCATGATGTAAATTATTATTGTATCTTTTTATTTTTATTTTTAAAAAGTGAAAACTTGGGGGAAATAACTACAGCACCGTAAGCAACTCTGGGAGAGAACCGTCCAATCATGTCTCAGCAGGCTTGAATATAACAAGCAAGCAAAACTCCCCAGAAAAGTGTGTAAATGCTTATCAAAAGTGTATAGAAAAAAAGGCTCCAACTGCCTTCGATGTAAAGGAAATAGCAGCTTGAAGATCAAGACACAATGTGTGGAACTGATCTCATAAGTCACGGGTCCCTGGAGTCATGGGAAAGAGGGACTTAAACAGAGCCACAAAACAAACAAGGCAGACATGGCGAAGGGCTGAGCTTCTCAAGCAGAGACCCTGCTGCAAATCTGCATGCGTGAGAGCAGGCTACAAAATGCTCTCTATTCTCTTTGCTTTTGCGTCAGATAAAGGAAGTGTCTGACCCACAGCAATACTGAGTTCTCCAGCGTTAGCAAGCTTCAACACTGACTCTCGGGTCAGGAATCAGAGCAGGGAAAGTGTCACTGAGAAACGGAAAATTGCAGGGAGATCCCACAAAAAAAACAAGTTGCATAGAATGGGCTATTTGACAGGATCACCACAAGAACAGATTTCTAGATTATTCAGGGAATGCAGTAGTCACTCACAAAAGTGTGTGACTATTTGTCTGATTGTAATATAAATAACTTGCACCATAATAAGCTGTCAGACTATTTGTCCAATTAGCCCTGTATCATCTACTCTGACTGGCTGTCCAGGGTTTCAGGGAAAAGTCTTTTATATCATCTGATCATTTTGAATGGAGATCCCAGGTATTGAATCTGGGGCTTTATGCAGGCAAAGAACATGATCCATCACTTGAGCTACTAGCCTCCATGCACGAGGTGTTGGAACTTTTAAGTTTTAAAGTTAGGGGCAAGTCCTGCAAGAGGATGAAGATTCCAAAGTCAAGAGTCTATGGTGTCACAGCTGGGGGATTCCTAATCAGCGGTCTCGGAATTACAACAAGCCCTGGATAAGGTTCAGGATTGGGGCAAGGGACCAGGAGCCTTAGAGGAGGCTGAGGACAAGCCGTAGGCACCATGGGTGAGTATGGCCTCTGATGCTGAGGCTGAATGAATCCTGAGCCCAAGGGAGAGATGGCACCTCAAATGCCAGACAGAAACCCACCCTATCAGAAGGCAAGGACACCATGGAAGTAATATCCTCCTATTGAAGACAACTGGCAGCAGTCAGCTGGATCTACTGTGTTTTTCCAGCAGCTCCAGCTCAAAAAAGCCCAGTGCCTGGCTGGAACAGGAGCTGGAACAAATGGTTTTTCAGCAGCACTGTGACCAATCTGACTGGTTAGATTGCATCTGACCTTGGACTGCCCAGGACCTGGTCATTGCCTATGCTCTCGACTGTCCACAGACCAACTTGAACATGACTTTGACTGCCCTGACCTTGCCTCTCACCTCAACTCTTATTTTGGACTCTGATGACTTGGGCTCTGACTCCAGACCAGCCCTGGATACCACTTTTGCACAGCACAGTCACACTTGAGCTTTTAGTACAGCTCTTCAAATCCTACTCATTACCCCCATTTCTACACCGCAATCTGACTAAATTAGTTGAGCTAATGTTAATTCCTATGGGGTAGGGGGCAGGGAACAGACCTAAAATATTTTTCTTTTTTACGTTCTGCCACCCAAATGAAGGCATGTAACACAAACAATTTAAGAATATTTCAGCAGGTGTTAGCTTGTGGGAGAATGTATTGTTTTGAGGTTTTGCATTATTTGTTGAATACCCCTTATTAAATGACCCAATGTCTACCTATTGCATAAAACATTTGTCACCCACTACAGGCAAACTTTCCTCCACCGCTACCCTATTATCTTAAGTGGTTTGCTATTTCGCCTAAAGCTACAATCCTATATACAGGGTTTTGGGAATAAGTCCCAATGAACTGAGTGGGACTTTAAACATTCATAGGATTCCACTTCACATCCTTTCTGCACTCACCTCCATCTGGTGTCTCCTTCCTTTCTGAATGCTCCATTTTTCCTATATTAGTTTTCATAATTGCCGAGGCTGTTGCTTTAGAATGAGGTTTCGAATGCAATTTCTGCTTTATAGCTTTGGCTTCCTGTAGAGTTCTTTCTTTCAGAGAAGAGGGTATGCTCCCAGAAATACTGACTGCACTTGAAGAAAAATAATTGTTTTTTGAAGAAAAAAAACATCAGAGGCATTTGGAGTATTAAAAAAATATACACAGCAACGATAGAAAAATGAAATTAAACTCAACACAGCAAATTATACAACCAAGGGAAACATCACAAACTTTTAATTATTTTAAAAGATGTAGCTGCCGTTATAAAACTATGTACATTGTAAACCAGGGATGGGGAAACATACACATGAGATACTACAGCTTTTGTCTGCTTTAGGACGGACGCATGTGAGATGGCTGCCAGTTGGCTTTAAAGTTCTCTCCATGTTTAGTGTCTTCATGCAGCAAACCATCTGCATACAGTGATGTGCCAAGGGGATTCTCTCTATATACCATTTCAGTCTTCCAATAGAAAGCTTTTCTGGTGCCACAGAGGGAAAACATCCGTCCTCCCCTGTGGGAGGCACTGCACACAGACAGCTTGCCATATAAAGACAGCCATGATGGGGATGGCTTAGCGCCCTCTCAATCAAACCCATGATGCCTCACTGAGCACAGGACAGAGCTCTTAGGTTCTAGATCTAGATTCTGCCTTCAAACATCTCCAGTAATCTGTCCTATCCTACACAGGGTTGTGGTGTCATCATGTATCAACGGTACTTCTTTCACAAGGAAATGTTTTGCACTAGCAGGGTGTGATGCGCTTTGCTTACAGAACAGACCCAACTTTTTGTATAAACCCTGCAAATCTTTGTTGGAGGATAACACACTTGGATCTTTAACGTGGACTAGGAATATCCACGGGCTTTTCAAGCACTAGTTTATACTTAGAAAGCTAAGTCATCTACAATGCTATTTTCCGTGCCTTTTCTACATGCCTTATCTTCTATATTCCTGGTTACAGGTAGGTAGCCACGTTGGTCTGCCATAGTCGAAACAAAATAATAATAAAAATTCCTTCCAGTAGCACCTTAGAGACCAACTAAGTTTGTTATTGGAGCTTTCGTGTGTACCTGAAGTGTGAATGCACATGAAAGCTCATATCAATAACAAACGTAGTTGGTCTCTTAAGGTGCTACTGGAAGGAATTTTTTTAAATTATTTTGTTTCTATATTCCGTTTTCTTAAATAAACTGTATTTTTTGCTTAACTGGCTTCTTCTGGGTGGGTGGGGAAAGGGGAAAAAACAAAAGGCACCTCATCCATTCTGCCACTGGGAGCATTTTGTGAATGGAGCTTTGGTCACAAGGCCCTCTCACCAACAACTAGAACCTCAGGTTCCAAGCCATAATTTTGCCAATAATAATCTTCAAGACTAGACAGTTGGAAGTATAAAAAGCCACTGGATAAGCAATTTCTACATTGCTCCTCTGACACCCTTGGAAGAAACTCCCTCTGGGAGAAAGGATACACAAGGCATGGTGATCTGTTGCTCTAACAGAAGAAGGCTGTCAATCTGTTTAATGTTAAGAATTTTAAAAAAACAACAACAACACCTCAGAACATTCTCCTTGCCTTTTTGAAAGCAGATATATTGTCAGGATATAATGAGACAATTAATAAGGTGTGTGCTATTAAAATGTTGGATTCTTAATTAACCCATTAAAATAATTATACCTCCCAAGGGAGGTCTCAGTTTTAGATATTGCTTTACAATATTTTGGAACAGTGATGGCACAGGATTGTTAAAAAGATTCTGATAAAAAGCTCACTAAGAGCTATATTTTTATTGGCGAGAATTAATTATGTAATTAATCATCACATGACATTAAGTAGACTACTCGTATAATGTAGATGAAATATGACCAGTGTTATGAGATTTTGCAGAAACTGACACACCAAATAATCAAGTGAAAATTGATTTATGCTAATACTAGTCAAGCAAATAATTATGCCAGGCAATTTGTGGAATAGCCAACGTGAATGGAGAAGAACCTATCAGGCTGGCTAACAGTGACCCAATACCAAAACCCAGCAAATTGTTCCTTCAAAATGTCTAAGCAATCATCAGACCAGTCAAGTTTTAGATTCCTATTCAGGCTTTGATGATAAAGAGACATACCGTATGTCTAATGTGATTGAAGGCTCAACTAGCTGAAAAACTCAACAATTATTGAAATTCTTTCTGAAGCACAAAACCTAACTAGCATAGTTAAGGGGGAAAGAACGGTTAATGGCCAATATATCTAAGACCTCTAAAACATATGTTTTGGGAGACAGCTGTGCTGGCTGGGGTTGGTGGAAGTGAGTGCTAGACCAAAAGCATATGGAGGGCACCAAGTTGGCAAAGTCTGCATTAAAATGTGCCTCTCCTAAAATCCCCTGTCATTCTACATCCATTCAATTAGGGTTGCCACCTTTGTTCTGGCAAAATACAGGACAGGGCAGAGTAGGGAAGTTGGGGGGCATTTCCCCCTCATCTGGCGCTGATGTGAAAGCAATCCATTCTGATCTACTGCTGTCTTACAGGATGCCCCCTCTGGAATTTCACACACACAAATTTCTCAATCTCTCTGCTCTTGGCTACCTAGAGCTTAAATATGGCTCAGTTAGTAGAGCATGAGACTCTTAGGCTGGATCTAGACACATCAAAGAAGCGATTCAGTTAAGAACGTTGTAAACTTCATAGAGGGAAATCCCGTTGGCGAAAAATGAGATTCCACAGTGCCATCTGGTGTCACAGAGTTATTGCAGGGGATTGGGCCAAAGGACTCTTGAGGTCCCTTCCAACTCTACAATCCTATGGTTCCTATAACCGTTTACACACCCTTTCAAACACATACATTTGGAGAGGATTCCTAACGTGGGAGACAGAGAGAGAGTGTGTGTTGAAATACAGGAAAAAACTGCATCAATACAGGTCATAGCATTTTACACTGAAAAATGGGACAATCCTGTATTATACGGGACAGGTGACAACCTTACATTCAATGAATATGTATCAAGGGTGAGGCACTAATGCAGGCATCCCCAAATTCGGCCCTCCAGATGTTTTTGGGACTACAATTCCCATCATCCCTGACCACTAGTCCTGTTAGCTAGGGATGATGGGAGTTGTAGTCCCAAAACATCTGGAGGGCCGAGTTTGGGGGTGCCTGCACTAATGCAAGAAACATTCCCTCCCACCCGACCTTCACCATATGGCCAAAAAAGCCCCACTTCCTGCACATACAAGCAGAGGGCTCCCTCTGAGTTTGGAAACCTGTAACAGCAGCGCTCCCAACACAAGAGAACTTGCTATATGCACAGGGACCTCTGTATGAGAACTGCAGCGTGCGCAGGCAGGACCAATCTAAGCTACACAGAGCAGCACTCTTACACATACAGGGAACAATGCAGATACAAGATACCACAAGAAGCAATTCTATAAGTGGAGCTCAATTTAAAAAGGCATGCTTGAATCCAGCATTATTCCTGCATGCTAAGTACTGTCAGTGACTGAGAGGAACTTTCATGTTCTCTGGCAGGCTAAACAACCACAATCCTACATGGTTGGTGTGTGTGTCCTCAGTTTAAAAAGGTAAAGGTATAGGACCCCTGACGGTTAAGTCCAGTTGCAGATGACTCTGGGGTTGTGGCGCTCATCTCGCTTTACAGGCCGAGGGAGCCGGCGTTTGTCCACAGTTTTTCTGGGTCACGTGGCCAGCATGACTAAGCCGCTTCTGGCGCAATGGAACACTGAAACCAGAGCAGCGTACGGAAACGCTGTTTACTTTCCCGCCGGAGCGGTACCTATTTATCTACTTGCACTTTTTTGCGTGCTTTCGAACTGCTAGGTTGGCAGGAGCTGGGACCGAACAACGGGGGCTCACCCCGTCACAAGGATTCGAACCACCAACCTTCTGATCGGCAAGCCCAAGAGGCCCAGTGGTTTAGACTACAGCGCCACCCGCATCCCTTGTGTCCTCAGTTACTCATACATTAATTACACCCAGCTTGAACTACTGCAATGCTCTCTACGGGGCTAGCTTTAAAAACAGTTCAGAAACTGCAACTAGAAGAAAATAACACAGCTGCCAGAATCTTCTAGGTGTACGGTAGTTGGAACCTATTACACAAATCCAGTTTCAATTTAAAGTGTTGTGTTAACCTTTAAAACTCTTGAGTTGCCTGTGGGTAGCTTAATTTAAGGATCACCTGCTGACGTGAACCTGTCAAAGCCCTGAAATAAGCATCAGAGTCTCTGCACTCCAGCCTTTTAAATAACCCGTTGGTGAATACTAGGAACAGGGCCTTCTTCGGGTGGCAATTCTGGAATTGTTTCCCTTGGGAGGTCTGTTAAGCATACTCTCTTCCTGTTTTTAAACAGGTGCATTTTCTTCTCTTTATTTTTATTGTTGTTGGGTTTTTTTCAAGCAGGTAAATTTTAAAGCTGATTTCCATTATTTTCGTGCTGTCTCCTTTAGCCTTAATGCTTTTTTGTTCTGTACCATTTTATTTAAATTGATTTTTAATCTTTATTTTACTGTAGTCGGAGGCTGGGGTTTTTTCTGGCAAATCACTTGGGGGGGACGGACTAAGTGGGGTATACAATAAAATAACCCTTTAAAGGTCCACAACAGTGGAAGGGACAATGCCTAAAAATAAACAAGATGTTGAATTGGCTCCCAGCACTGTGTGCCAACTTAATCTGTGCAGTCATACAAATTGTTCAAGTCACGAATATAATGCTACCATAATGGGGTTCAGAACAAATCTCTGAACAAATGCAGGATTCCTCTGCACCCTAATCTAGTTTCACAACACGTGGCTATCTTCTGGTGGATGAATGCATATAATTTAGGATTATAACAACACGCCACAAGTCAAGTGCAGAAATTAACAAGGTGCTCTCTTTCACAGTACAATTCCAGAAATCTGCATTTTTAGTATGCCCTGAAATCACTGAACAAGGGATTATGTTTTATTAAAGGACTAGCACAACTTGAATGTTTTATTTCTAAAGGCACAACTCCCTCATAAATTTACAGCTCAGACATTCTGACTTAAATCACCTGGGAGAAAAGCTGTTTGCTTTTTTAAAGGATTCAA